ATATATATATATAAGCAAATATATGGATATAGATCCGACAGTATGAAGAAAAATATACTGAAAAAACAAACAAAAATCCTAATATGCGATTATGCTGTTTTAATGTCAACGTCGGACGTTTCGGTCTAATAGACCATCTTCAGGACATATTCATAAAACATAATTAACATAGACCATATACAATTCAACATGAAAATGACGATGGACATAAAAGCAATACCAATCCAAACAGGCATAATATCTATCTCATGCACGGTGAACACTAGACCTGGCTTCTTTAATATTTCCCCTTATCTAGCAAGATTAATGCTCGACAAACATACATATAAGTTTTAGATCAAAATAAAATTCTTTTCGTTTTTCATTCAAAATACTCAAATGTTAGGAATACGTTTTCACAACATTGCCCACGTGACGACAACGTGATCATATTTAAACGGAACGCTGATCTTATAAAAGATTTCAGTTATCTGTTTGGATTGGTATTGCTTTTATGTCCATTGTCTTTTTCATGTTGAATTGTATGGTCTGTTAATTATGTTTTATGAATATGTCCTGAAGATGGTCTATTAGACCGAAACGTCCGATGTTGACATTAAACATTAAAAAGCATAATAGCATATTAGGATTTTTGTTTGTTTTTTCAGTATATTTTCTTCATATATATATATATATATATATATATATATATATATATATATATATATATATATATATATATATACATACATTTGCATTATATATTCCTTAAATTGAATAATAAGTTAAACTACCAATTGTATTTGGAAGAATGTATCACTCTAAAAACTACTTATTTAAAGAGAAAGTTGTGTTGCTCTCTGGGATATAAATAATTATGCATTTTCGGTGACCAGTTGCACTATACACAGGTACAATTTTTTCTGGAGGGTTAAAATTCATGCAAAAAAATTTTGAGATTGCAGTGAAGTCGCCTTATACACAAATAAAAAAAATAAAAGAATATCTTTTTTTTTTTTTTTTTTTTTTTTTTTATTTTTAACTTTCAGGCAATTTTATATTTACATTCCCACAGAATGCTCTATATTTCTCTGCAAATGACTACTATATATACTTTTTACAGTTTTCCATGGAACTGAAATTTTCTTTCATGAAGAGAATATTGTTTAAATTAGTGATTCTCAACCCTTTTTAATAGTGAGAAACTACAGAACTCCAAACCATTTACAACAAAAGAAAAATATTTTCCTTGTCTTTCTATGACTTTATGACCAACATTCTGGAAGTTTTAAAATTTCATCTTGTTAAAATGACCTTGGCTTTTGGTGTAATAAAGTTATCATTGAAATTTTGAAAATTTAAAGACAGCTTTACATTTTTGACCAGAAACTGGATGTTGAAACAAATGATAATCTTATAGCAACAAGTCTGGTGAATATGCTTTGTCTAAGGAAGAAATTTTTTAACCCAAATCCATATCCATCATGGTCTTTTTGATTAACAAAACAATGTGTGGGTGTGAGTTGCTTCCTGCTTCCCTGGCTTATTTTTTCTTCAATTGTTTACTCAAACTGTGAAAGTGACAACTTTAACACACTGCAGTAACAATTTCACCAGGATTCCTAAAAGAGTCTGCCTTTCATATACCAACAAATGTAGAGCAATCAATGTTTTTTTTTTTTTTTTTTTTTTAAAGGTTAGGTTTTACTGTTTATACTGCTGACAGTCCAGGATCCACTTGTAATTTTAGGCACTTTGGATATTTTTTTTTTTTTTTTTTTTTTCACACCAAGCAAGGTGAAAATGCCAATAAGGAGAATGAGAAGATTTTAGGAACCAGAAACCCAATCCTAATCAGGAAACAAGTGATAAACCTCCACTCCATTCAAAAGACTAGGGAGGAGTGTGAACCGGACGATAGGTGAACCTATCTACTCCTTTTGAAGAAAAATAAATAAATAGTAAATACAATTTCAGAGTTTAGGAAGAGACATTAGACGTATAGAGTTGAAGCAGACTTTAGAAGGAACTGGAAATCCAATCCTAAACAATAAACAAGAGATAAATATTACTACTCCTGTTCAAAAGACTAGGGAGTAGTATGAACTGCAAGATTTTGTAATGAACCCTTTTTTTTTTTTATCTCCATTAACAGTCATCCACAAAGCATTTTTACAGGTGGTGCTGGTGTTGAAATACAATGTTTTTATGTTTTATGCTTTTTTAATTTTTCAAATATTTTTTAAATGTCTTATAATTGTTGAATGACCAACACCAAGTTTTTTTTCAGCTAATTCTGACATTGATTCAGCAGGTTTGTCATCCAAAAGAACTTGAAAGTCATCATTTGTTAATTCTTGTACTTTACAGCAGCTTGGTTTGAGACCCAAATCAAATTCATCTTTCTCGAACTTTTCAAACCATTCATGGCATATATTGCTTCCAACCAAACCATTTTCATAGGCCTTATCGATCATCTTCAATTCTGCTGCTAAGTTGTAAAGGAACTATTTACAGTGTTGAATGTGTATCTTGTCTGACACTATTTTTCTTTACCTTTTTTTACACAATACAAAACAAATGAATATTGAGTGTAGAAAACTCAAAAACAGTTTTCAACTGTGTAGTGAGTGTCTAGTTTTCAAAAAGTCTGTGCTTGGTACATATGCACACACTTACTAATTAACAGACTTAATGATCAGAAATGGTTTTAAAGTTCCTATACCATTTGTTTCTCATTATAAATTAAAGTCATGAACTTTTGTAGAAATATGGCCTTTTAACATGCAACATCATGAAAAACAGCTGATATTGAAAATCCAGTACACGTCTACACCAAACGGGAGAAAATGCTAGGGAAATTATTAAAAAAATATTCTTTTATAGTGTAATCTGCTTTCATTTTGTCCATTATTATACTTTTTTAATTAAAATAATTTTTCAGACCCAAATTTCATTTGTTATTGGGTTAGAGATTAAATTTTCTGAAACTGATTTCAATGAGGGAAAAATTCTAAATAGCTTCACATTGAGATTTGATGCAAATTTTTTGTACAAACAATGCATCTTAATACCAAGGAGAAATTTTGAACAGGAAAATGAACAATGTCCACTGCACTACTTTTGTTTAGAATTTAATGGAGCATTGATCTGTTTCATTAATTGTTAGAGCATTGGACTTTGAACAACAAGGTTTAAAACATGTCTATTTTTCCTGAACTGACCTATCTTTAATGTTGTTAGCTTTTGACTAGTTTTTGCTTCTTTTTATTGTTGCTTGTTATTACAATATTCTTGCTTAGAGAAGGACAACTTTGAATTCAAACCCAAGAGAGAAGCCCCTTGAGGTGGCTGAATATCAATTTTGACTACTTTCTGACAGCCCCTGAAGCTAAGCTGATGCCAATACATATTGTTTCCTTAAAAAAAAAAGGTAAAGGCTTTGGGGAAATAGTTGAAATAAATTGCTCAAGTAAAGACCCAAAAAAGGAAAATTCTGACCACAGAACCTCAATGCCTCCTAATACAAGTTGATAAGAAAAAAAATACTTTAGCTGTTGAAATAAGCATAAAGTTAGCAATTAAAATAATTACTTTCAGTGAAACTTGAACTCCCATCTGATATACTGAAGGCTCATGTAACCAATTCAACTATGGTGAGAACAGACACAAATATCCAATCATACTGCCATCGCCTTACTTCAAAGCTTCATACCTTCTTGTTTTTATTTTTACTACTTACTAAAATTACTTAAATTCTGAGATTTATTTTCACTATTATTTTTTAGTTTATTTTATTGTTAATTTTTTTTATCTCTACTTTCTTTGCCGAGATTTGAGGTGGCATATATATCCCCAAGATTCCAGTCTTATGTAAAATGTCTTAACTGGTTTGGCCTTATGGTGAGGTAGGGTACAAATCTAGTCATAAGGGTATCCTTCAACTTCAAACAGGTCTTGTTTACATGTTCACAAAAAGTCATAAAAGGATAGTCTAGTTCACCACTATAAAGTCTTGAATATCAATGTACTAAAATTCATGATGCCACTGCTTTTTTTTTCTTAGGAATTTTTTTTCTGAAGGAATTTAAAAAAATATCATGTGTTCAAGGATGATAGTAAAATTATTAATAATAATTTTTCTTAGACAAAAATTTATTTATCTTGGAAACAAACCTAAGGCATTCAGTACTTGTGCTGCATACAAAGACCCTTTGTCTCTGCTGGTTTCAAGCTTGTATAATCTCCATGCATAAACACTTATCTGCTTACATCCATGTCAGGTGTTCAAATACTTGGATTTCCTCTAAAAAAACAAAAAACAAACAAAAAATAAAACCAAAAATGTCTGTTGTTTCACAAACTTTAAATTAACATATATTTTTAATGCATTTAGAAAATGTCATCAATTCCAGATTTTATATTTTTCATTCTTTCTTTCTTTTTATGTGCCATGTCCTTTCAGGATGTAGGCGGTCATGACCCTCCATTTCCTCCTATCCCTTGTTGCTCTCAACAGGTTTTGTGTTTCTGCCAACTCCCCCAGACCATGTATTTTTCATCCACCTGTCCAAGTCCGCCACGTATGTCATGCGCTGCTTTCTCCTGTCTCTTTTTTCCCTCTATTCGTCCTGTGAGTATCAGATTCTCCAGGCCCTCCTTTCTCATCATGTGTCCCAGAAATTTCATCCGCCTCATCCTTATGTTAAGCATTCAATCCTCTTAAAAATGAATAAGGAAACAAAACCTTTCCCTATTACAAAATTTGATCAAATGAAAAAAATTATTTCTACATGAATGAATTAAAATATATTGTATTAGTTTAAAATAAATATTAAAATTAAATAAAATGTTATCAATATATTTTGTTAACTGAGCAACACTGGGAGTTGTATAGTTTTATTATACCCTATTAAATTCCATGTCTGACCAGAAGAATTTGCCTTGACCACTGAAAAAACACCAATTCAATTGCACATCTACTTAATTATCATTGGTGTCATCACATCAGTTGGCTGTTTGCCATATCACCTTGAAACACCAGTTCTTGCCTGATCACTGAAGTTAACCAACATTGTGCTTGGTCAGTACCTAGATGAGTAACCACTTGTGAATACCAGGTCCTGTAAGCTTGGATGTGCAGATGGTGTAATGGATAACATCTCAGGATTGAAAATTGGCATTCTGTGTTTTAATTCCAGTCAGGTTTGTTATATTCACTTATATGCAAATACCCTTGAGGAAGGTATGAATCCACCTCTTTTCCCCCCAGCTATAGGATAATTAATAGGACTTAAGTCATCATAAATCATTATTATCTCCCAAAAATTCGTACAATCTAAAAATATTTTCTAATTTTAGATAACCTGCAAAAGGTTGATACACCATAAAAAACCAATTGATCAATATTCACATCAGTGGTATTGTTGGTTATGTTGATTGATAATAAATAATAGCAAGTCTCCTTGAATTTCCATCTTTCTTCCCAGTATTCTTGTAGATTTCAAAAGTGCTGGGATTTAAATTGTCTCAATTCTTTTGCTGGTCTTTCATTTTTTTTTATTTTTAAGAATTTTTATGACCAATACTGGCACTTGAGTGATTTTAGACATCATCCATAATTTTTTTTATCTATTCTTAAGCAAAGTCCTAATGTTTCTCTGTTCATTTCGTTCATCTCCAGTTACACCTTGTGGTCCACAGGAGCAATTACGTTCACTATTCAATGGATCTGTTTTTCTTTCTTTTCAATAACTAATTCCAATCTCTTGGCTTGAATAGGATCATCTGCTTAAATGTCAAGGTTCCAAAGAATTTTACTTCTTTTTTTTTCCCATTCTCAAGACTATCTCCTGGTTTGTGATTATATAATTTCTTTCGGCAAACGTGCACACAAAACATTGGAGTGTTAAAAAGGACAGTTTTTCTCTTGATACTGCTATTATTTTAACTATATTCACTCCTTGACAATGTTATTGTTTTAAAAAGTAATGATTATAATTGTAATAAAGCTTAAACATATGATTAAAGTGAATTTATACATTTTGTTTTGTTCTTGAGAATTTACAACAAAAATAATAAACTATTTATTAGATTATTTATTTACAAGAATAATTTTATATTTACAATATTCTAAAAACTAATACAATTGAAACTAATGTAATACAATATTTATCATTTACCAATTTATAAAGAAATAAATATGAAAACAATTTTTGATTCATAAATTTATAAACATTTACTAAATTATTAAAATATATGAACCAACTATAAGGAAATCCTTATTATTTACCATTTTATAAAATTTGAATTGTTTCTAATAAATAAAGAGTGTTTATTATTTTTGTCATGAATTCTGAAGAACAAAAAAAATGTAAAAATTTACAATTATATGTTTGTTTTATTAAAATTCTAATCAACATTGCTGTGAAGTAAAGGTAGTGTCAAACTGTTTTTTTGGCATTCCATTTTTTTTTTTTTTTTTTTTTGTGGGCATGAAGGTTTGCCTTTCTTTCTATAGTTAAATCCAAGTCACTTATTATTACACAGGCAAATCAATAAGGCTGTAACCTGATGATAGAAAATAACATTTCTTTTGCATAGCAAATATTTATTTTTCCACATAATCTCCCTTTTTTGCCAATGGAATTAATTCAGTGGTTATATAGATCAAATCATATATTTTGAAAATTTCAGATCCATTAAATAAATGCTAGGCTATTGACTCACCCATGTGCATTTACTGAATTTTACTTCCAGAAGAATATGTTGTGGGTGTTATATGGGCCTGTAGACAGATACTGTATGATGGAAGACAACAAAACGAAAATAAATAAAAAATATATTGGCAAGTTGAGGAAAATACATTTGTTAAGGAAAATATATCGACAGAAATAAGGTTGCATTGCACTAGGCAAAAAAATATCCCTGCATGTTCATGTACAGGGTGAGAATAACGTTGTCCTGAGAAGGACAGACTTGTAGTTGCTGCAGAGTGTTTTCCTGAAAGGGATCTTTGGGGTCACTGAAAAGTGTTGTCTTGAAAAGGACAGTTTATTGTATATCATTGCTGCTGGAGGCCTGCTAGAGATGGCTGAAATGGTGGCCAATATTAAGCCAGAGCAGAAAATGATGATTGCTGGCTGAAACTGCTGGAGATGACTGGAACAGTGGCTAATGGCGAGCTGGAACTGCTGCTGATGGCTGGAGCCTTGGGCCGGCTGCTGGAAAAGTTACTACACTTTGATCCTAATCATCTGGGCCATGGAAAGTTGTTTTTCATTGCTTTGATGCCTTTTTATACCCTAGATCATTTTTACAACTATTGCTGGTTAAGCTTTTTCTTCCAGTCGTTTTTTTTTAAAATGTGGGAGTGCTGACAGGATACAACAAATGTGTGGAAATCAAATGACAGCAAGTCTCCTCAGTACATCAGAACTCTCCTTCTGTATTCTTACTGAGTTTAGTAATGTTATTATCAAGATAGTTTTGATTCTTCCTTTGATTTCTAATTTTCTTGCAAGTTTCTTAAACTCCAAATGTACGCAGAATAATGGTTACTATCATGACCTTCATATTCTTTAGTATTTTCAGTTCTTTGGCAAATATCTTGACCACTTTTCTGCATTGAGAAATCCATTTGAATTTCAAAGTTTTTTAGATCTTTACTTTTTTTTTTAATTCTCTCAGATGGTGTCTGGTTATTGCAAGTAAGATTGGTCAATCTGTTTGCATAGTTCCCAGCAGATCACTGTTCCCACTCCTTAATGCCTTTTCTTATATTGTCAATGTATTCCATTCACTTATATGACTAATAGTTTCATGTCTGTTTCTGCACAGGCAACTTTTATCATTCTGCTATGTTTTGTCTTTCATTTTGCTAATCTTCGTCTTTATGTCCTGAGATGTGCTTAATAGTGATTTGTTTCTCTTGTCAAGTATCCTCTGTGCAAACATGCCTGTAACATTTTATCTTAATTCTTTTTGTTTTTCTCTCTCCTTATTATTTTAGTATGTATCTTTGCTGCTTGCTTTTAAAAAGTCAGGAAAATCCTTCAGTGATAGGCACAGCTTATTAGGATTTCTTGAAGTAGAAAATCATGTTAATTCAATCAGTATGAAGCCAGCATTGTTTCTCTCTTCAAGTATCCTCTGTGCAACCATGCCTGTAAAATTTTATCTTAATTCTTTTTGTTTGTCTCTCTCCTTATTATTTTAGTATGTACCTTTGCTGCTTGCTTTTAAAAAGTCAGGAAAATCCTTCAGTGATAGCAACAGCTTATTAGGGTTTCTTGAAGTAGAAAATCATGTTGATTCAATCAATATGAAACCAGCATTTCTTGGATGCCTTGGCATTTAATTATAATCTTCTCATGTTTCTCAGTAACCATTACTCACAAATGAATCACGGAAAACAGGGAAACACGTGAAATATTTTTTTATTTTTTATTTTTCTTAAAATTTTTCTTTAAGCACTAAGCTGTTCTACAGAGAAAAGATTTATAAGTTTTGTATCTCACTGGGAAAAAGATTATAAACACTGATAGAAATTGTATTTGTCATCATATCTTGTTTTCTGTATTTATATAACTTCTTTTTCTGTTATTTTCTGCTAACTTCTCTGGTTAAGAGATAGACAAAAATGACAATCTATCATCTGGTCATGTTTATAAAGATGTTTACTTTTTATCACTTTAGAAATGGTCTTGATATCTATCTATAAAAGGCGGGGTGTGTGTGTGTGTGTGTAAGTAACGAATGCACGGCCGCAATTTTCAACGGATTTGCACCAAAATTTACATGCACATGCTCCAAGTTAGCAGGAAGGCCAAGACCAACTTTGCATTTCCCAACTCCCATCGATAGTGGAAATAATCAATTTTTGCATGCTTCTACGGCAGTTTTCATGTAGTTTGCGGCCATTTTCTACTGGCCAGAGTGAGAGCCTATAGCTGGCTGCCACGAATAGGCAGGAAGATTCTATTGGCCAGTGTGAGAGCCAACAGCTGACTGACACAAATGTTAATTAGCATGCTAGAACACAAAAAAAAATTGATAGCTGCATTTGTCACAAGTGGGAAGAATTTAAATCTGCATGGCACTTTACTCCAATTGGCTTTACTCCATTTGCTTGCTTAAACTCAACGTTGATTCTGATTCCGCAGAACTGGGTTGGGTGTGAAAAAGTATTTGTTGTTAACATTCTTTTTTCATTCGATTTTTCCAGTTACAAGTCCTTTTTTAAAGCTGATCGTTTTGTGTTCATTTTGTTTAGCTCTTTTTTTGTAAGAGATTTAATGTTTAGTATAGAGCTTAGAAAAAATTCGCAGTGTGAAATAGGCAAGAAGTAAGGCATGTAGCAACATCAGCACGGCAAAGAGCACTCCTTTAAAGGCAAGGAATAGCAACTGCTGTATGAGTCGTACAATTTTTGAATCAAGCATGGACAACACTGGGCCTTACTGCTAGTTAATTTCTATTTATTATACCATCTTTACTGATTTATTTAATGAAGATATATCTCCTATGCTATCAATTCAGTACAATATTTCTATAGTTTGTCATGTTTAAATAATTTTGATAGCATCTTGTCTTCTTGATAACCTAAAACAAATATATAAAGAATAATTAGTTGATGAAATTGTTAACAAGAACTGAAAAGATAATCCATAATAGACTATTTTTCTGTAATTCTTCAGTAGTGCTTACGGTAAAGTAGCCAACTTGCTAAATATCATTTGCTGTCCTTTTTTTACGAACTGGAAAATTTATGGGCTATATTACACATTATCTTAAAGACTTGTCTTAAGTTGTTTCATTTGCTCAGAGGAGAATTAACCATTTTGTGTATGTGCATGTGGGAATTTTTTCTACATACATGAGAAATCTAATAATTCTTTGAAAAATTTAAAAAATATTACCTGTTTATATAATGAACAGAGTACCTTTATGCTTTCTTCTCTGTCTGTAAAAATGGAGTCGCCATTAGGTAATATTATCAACCTGGTCTCATAACTACTGATTAATGAGAAAATCCATTGTTAAGGTAACAGGAGCACCACTCAAAGCAAGTAGGCATTGTGTTAATGTGACAATGGAATTTTTAAAAAATTTAATTTGCAAAATGACAAAAATTATAGAATTATAAAAATTAAAACATCCCATTCATCTGATAGCATAAGGCAAGACTTATTTGCCATAACAAATAATAAAAGTTTAAAAATAAAAATATAAAAATATTATACAATTCTATAGTTATGGTGATATAAATCTTGTGCGCCAATATTCATCATTTAATAGAAATTTAAATATACCTATAAATTCTTTTCACAGCTAATAACTAGTTTACAATATAAAGTAAAAGCTACCTGAAGAGAAATACATTTAAGATATTCATTATCCACAGAATTATCCAAAGCTTTCTCTTAAAACATGTGAAAATAATGGCTTTCCAAGCTCCACAATGTTATTGGTCCTGACCTGGCACGTTGGTTTAAGTCACTTTCCCACTGCCATAATGTAGCTTCCCTAAATACTTTCATGGTAATTTTTCTGATGAATTTTCCTCAATGATAACTTGATTTTATGAATTTAAGCACAGTACTAGATTGGCAACAAAGTTCCATCATTTTACAGTTGAAATGGCTAAGTGTAACTGTAAGTTCTATGCTAATAGTTTCTTCTGTTTGCACTTCTCGCTTGTGGAACTGTCTTCTGGCTTTTTACTTCCCTGTCAACTTTGATCTTCAAAAATTTATATGCAATGTCAATTGTTATCTTCTATCATCTTAATTCTTGTTCTTTTATTCTTCTTTCACCATAATAATATTTTTCTTGTATTCTTGCATCTAAGTGACTCTATTGCCTTGCTTGGAATGAAATTATTAAAAAAAAAAAAAAAAAGAAGAAAAAAAATGTTTATCATTCTGTCAGATTATCATTTAAATTTAAATCAATTGAAAGTAAAGCAAAAATTTACTATCAAACTCTCATAAAGCTTTTTCAAAAGATAACTGAATTATTCATAATAGTTAAGAGATTAGCTTAACAACTCAAAACAAATGAGAGAAAAATGATCAAGGCTTCTTCTCTTAATAATTTAATGCTAATTACATAATTACATTAAAGCAGGACGTTTCGTATTGTTCCCCACTCTTAATTATGAATGCATGTATTTTTCCATTCTTGACCTTGTAAGTAATGTTAGTTGAATAAGTAGAATTTTATTCTTTCATTGTTGTTGTGTTACAAAGTTGGGTTATTTTCATTGGCTCGTCTCAATTGTGATGCATGACTGTAGCAGTGACATAACCAGTTGGATATTTTGAAGACTATTTGCTGATCCAACTTGCCTGAAATCATAAATAGATAATAATTTCTGAACCATTTCACTGTCATGTGAGAGAATAATAATGCAAATAGTTTATTTAAAATTACTGTATAATTGTAATCAGCCAGTAACATATCCTCTCATCGTAGTCTACTACTAATACACAGCATGATTTTTTTTTTCTGTTTGTTTTCTTGTTTCTCTGTCTATAACTTCTGTAACACTAAAGCATGTCCTCACCCTCCCCACCCTTGTTAAGTTGTTAAATAGCTCAAATGTGCATTTACTACCCAGCGCAAGTATTGAACTGATATCCTTCAGCTAATATAAACTTGTGCTTTAATAAGCTGACCTGTTCCACCTACAGTTGAAATGGGTTCTGCCCATTGAGATCTATATAAACTTATGGTTTTTCCACTGGGGTGGGGATATAAAAAAAAAAAAAAAAAATTAATTTGCCTTTGCCTTGGATTTAACTTTTGGGAGGGGGCTGGGTTTATTGCCCAGCACCTGAGGTGTTCCCCAAAAGGGGAAGTGCCAAGGTAGTTTGGGAATTTTTCCATGGTACTGCTGATAAATCCACCTGAAACTGACCTTGTGTCAGATCTGGTTGCAGGGTGGGCGTGCCAGTAAATAACTATAAAAATCTATTTGCATGGTGAAGTCATATCAGATTGAATCAACATTGGTAACAGAGTGTTGTTATGATCTATGGACCTCTGGGTTATGAGCCCAGCATGCTTTCACTGTGCACTTTGAAAAGAACAAAATAGATCAATCATATGCTGCATGTATAGATTTTGATGAATTTCAGTTCAGAGGCAGAAACAGGAATATGGCTGACTGTGATTTTATTTGAGCCATTTAACAATTTAACACTTCCAGGACTTCAAAAAGTTTTTTTGATGCTTAGAAATTTGGGGTGATGTTGTGCACTTGTATTATTTAAAAAAAAAAATTTTTAATCAGTATCACCCCATGCAAGGCAATAAAACCACTAAAACACAAAACGTTACAGGGTGTGGAAGAATAAGGAATAGAAATATTAATAATGAACAGGAAGAGAAGAGAGTAATCATGAGGACAGTAGATAGAGATTGACATTTCATTTAAAGTTTTTAGATTAAAGTTGGCTGGAAAGCATGCAGCCAGAAGGGTATTCCACAAGCGAGAAGTGCGAGAAAAGAAACTGTTAGCATGGGACTTACAGCTACATCTAGCCAGCTCAACTGTAAATTGAGGAGATCTTGACGCCAGTTTCATATCTATAATAATGCTGATTCTTTTTTTGGATTTTATTGGTTTTGCTTAGGGCTTCTGTCAAAATCAGCATAAAGTATGATGGCTGAATTTTTAAAAAAAATTTTTATTGTATACTCAAGTGGGTATAAAAGTTCCCAGTATTTTTTTTGAAAACTAGTGACAAAATACACAATTAAAATTTAATATTTAATATTTACTCTGTTTTTCTTTAGAAATGCATTTTTGATTTGTGTTTATTTTTATGATTTATCTGTAGCATATTTTATAAGCATTTTGATTTTCAATCTTTGAAGGTCAAGGTTATGTCTTGCACATAACATTTCATATCGTATATATATTATTAGCAGTTAGTTCTGCTCTTTTGTATTTGTTATTTTATACCTTTTAGCCATCTAAAATTTTACAAGCACACTATTAAGTACCCATTTTGTTCATTGATATTTTTTTAAATGTATGGCAGTGACTCTAAAAAATGTTTAACAAAGAAAAAATGAGATTTATTTTGTTAATAAATATTCCATTGTTTATTCACATCATCCTCAGATAAAATCAATTATGTCTTTGATTTGTTAAACAGATAATGATTATCCACAAATATGTATCATTCTGTCTTTTTTTTTTTTTTTTTTTTTTTTAATGTAACCATTTTTTTTAAAAAAATTTTTATTGACTCTGGGAATTGAACCATAGACCAACTTCTTGTCTAATATTTGAACCATTAAGCTTTATAATATCCAGCATATAATATCATATATAATATATTATATGCTGGATATTCTCCTCACATATGAAGAGACTTGAGGCAACAGAAATATGGTTCTACAGAAGGATGCTTATAATACCATGGACTGAACATGTAAGCAACAACAAAGTTTTGGAGAAAATGGAAACAAAAAGAACATTTTTACTTAGCATCAGCATGAGACAGTGGAAGTTTCTGGGGCTTTGAAAATTTGACACACACATGACAGATTGAAGACAATAGGGACAGAGGAAAAAAACACATAACTTACCTAGCAAGCTTGAGGAAATGGATGATGGAACAAGGTTTAGGAGACATAGCAAAAAATTTATTAAGAGCTATGAAGGACAGGAAGCTGCAGAGCCATGATCGCCAATGGCACATAGAAGAAAATTCTTCAGTTGTTACTAGCTGTATTGTATTATTATTTTAATGAAAAATGCACTGCAGTAATTGCATGATTGCTTTCAGTTTTTAAAGTCCTTTTCTTTGAAGATTTCAATAGTTAAACTTGTTTTTACAATTTAGAGAAAGCATGCATTTCTCTAAGAAAAAAAGAATTGATCTGGGATTGATGTAATATGATTCTCTGTCTTTGTAAAATATTCAATGTATAACCTTCAGGTCATTGGAAACATTTAACATCATTTATTTTTTATTTGTAACATTTTCATCAATGAGGATAGTTTTGTTTACTTGCAAAAGACTGACTTTTCTGTTTTCAACTAAGTACTTAATTTTGTATGAAATCTCTTAAGTTAGCCAGGCACCAAAGAAATTGGCAATTTTTAAATGGGAGTGGAAAGAAATAAGTAATAAAAAATTTATGGACCAAACAAAGTACAAATTCTCTGAAGAAGTTGATTTTGTTTGATTTTTTCGTATCAGTTTTAGTGATTAGAAATAAAGGTACTTGTATTTATTTCTTTTGTGTGTGTGTGTGCGTTCTTCCTTCTGTCATGTTCTCCATTATTCAGTTTGTTTTTTTTCATTTAAACTTTAACTTTTTCTTTCCTTCTAATTTTTTTTTTCAATTATCTTTCGGTAATAATCATCTTTCATTTTTTTTTTTTTTCTATTCTTTTTTTTCTTTTTTTTCATTCTTTTTTTTTCTTTTCTTTTTTATTCTTTTTTTTTCTTTTCTTTTTCATTCAGCCTTTTTTTTCTTTTTTTTCATTATTCATTTTTTTTTTCTTTCTTTTCGTCATTCAGCCTTTTTCTTTCTTTTCGTCATTCAGCCTTTTTCTTTCTTTTCGTCATTCAGCCTTTTTCTTTCTTTTCGTCATTCAGCCTTTTTCTTTCTTTTCGTCATTCAGCCTTTTTTTTCTTTCTTTTTTTCGTCATTCAGTTTTTTTTCTTTCTTTTTTTTCTATTCAGCCTTTTTCTTTCTTTTCGTCTTTCAGCCTTTTTCTTTCTTTTCGTCTTTCAGCCCTTTTCTTTACTTTTTCTTTTTCTTCACTTTTTCCTGCCTTGTTTTCATCCTTTTTTCCTGTCTTTCTTTCATCCCTGCCTCTTTTACTTTCTTTCTTCAGGGTCTGTTTTGACATTATCATTTGTTTGCTTGCATTTATTTTTAATCTTGTCTTTTAGTTCTGCCATCTTTCTACACTCTCTTTCTTTTCTTTTTTTATGTCTCTCTTTCACCTCTTCTTTCCCTTTTTTTTTCTTTTTTTCCACTACTTTTTTTTTTTTTTTTCCAAAATTTTCCATAAGTTTCTAATACAATTTGTATACAGCAAAATATTTTTAATTTATTTTATATAATATATTTTTATTTTATTCTTGATATTAAGCTTTTACTTTTCTAAATTGATTTTGTCATACATCCACATCATGTTAAAACACCAGTTCCCATATGATCATCAAAGTTAAGGAACATCAAGCCTGGTCAGTACCTATATGGGTGACTGCTTGGGAATGCCAGGTGCTGTAAGTTTGGATGTGTGGGTGGGATGTAATAGATAATGACTTGGAATTTATCCAACTCCTGTTGGCTTCGTTATTTTCACTTATGTGCAAATGCCATGGGGAAAGGTATGAATCCACCTCTTCTCCTCCCAGCTATGGGTTAATTAGCAAGACTGTATCACTAAAACAATTATCTCTAAAAAAAAAAAAAAATAATTCTTACACTCTAAAAATATTTTCTGGCTTAAAATAACCTGCAAAGGTTCATTGTGGAAAATGAATCAGTCTAAATTGATTTTGAAGGAATATACTGTTTGCTGGGGCAGATTGCTTCAAATGCCTCAACTTCCATCACTAAAGATGTAGGTAGAATGATAGGATCCTTGTATCACTCCAGTAAGTACCTGATTCTTCGTAATATCCTCTACCTTTTTAAGAGCTAGATCAGACCGAAAATGGTGTACTGTTGCCATATTTGAGTGGGAGCTATCAGGCCCTCACTTTCCAGTCTTGATAGAGTTCAATAGCATCTCCGAATCTTTGTTAAAGAAGAATAATTTTGCACCCTCCAATCTCTCTCTCAGTGATGGGTTGTGGCAAGTCTTTCACTGCTCTTTCGCTTCTTCCATGGAAAGTGCTCAAACTACATTTCTTGGTTCCACCAAGTCTAACCATCATAGTGTGAACATTAATGTAAAAAAAAAAATAACTCTGTAGAATTCACTGCCAGACTATAAATTTCCATTTCACTTATCTAACCACTAAGCAAGTACATAGTCATTAACTATATAAACAAGGCTAACCACATAAAATCCTTCATAAATATCTGAATTTATACAGAGAAGACAAAAACTAATAAAATATGACTCATCATCGTTCAGTTCTTTTAAAGAAATTTTAATACAAACATAGTTAATGGTATGATTTATGTCTTCAATCTTTACATTACAAAGAGCTAATTTTAGTTTTTAAAATGAGGATATGTCTTTGCCATTGATCCCTTAAAAAAAAAAACAGCCAATTTAAAATAGTACAAAGGAATAAAAATTATTTCTTCATTTTAAATCTTATTGATTGGATCAATGAAAAGGGAATTATTATCATCATCATCATTATCATCATCATCATCCTTCTTCTTCCTCCCACCTCCTCTTCTTGTGTTATGTGTATCATCAAAATGTCTAGCATACAAGTCTTGTTCCTATAAGGGCTCAGTTTGTGCCACTAAATGCTCAAATTACCCATAATTCTGTCTTCTAATCCATAACCTTCTGATTTTGAGGCCTGATTTTATTCACAGTTTATGGACCTAAACCGGAACTTATTATCTGTAGACTGAAACTGGACATAACAAAATGAGAAGATAAAGTTCACAGTAAAGTTCTCAAGTTGGGTTATCTTGCCAGCAGCCAATTCTGTATAGTGTTGACAACCAAGTTATTAGAGTTAAGGGAGTACAACAAGGGGGGGGGGTCACTTTGAGCAAGTTCCAGACAACTTTCGATAACATTTCTTATATGAAAGTGAAATTTCACAGCTTTCACTTAGCACACAAGTTTTTTTTCTTCTAAAGAATACATCACTATTTATAAGAATACATCACTATTTATAAGCATCTCTGCAACATTGAAAATAAATAGATTAGTTTAACCATTAGATAACCATTTTAAATGAAATACATTATTGTAAATTTTCTGATTTGATCAACTGTCAATACTACTGTGATATGACCGTAACTATTATTCTCAAGTTCGGAGTTACATATGTTACCTATTAATAAAGATAATCTTTATTACTAATTTGACACAATCTTATTATTATTGCTTTTTCACTATTATTATTTTATTACTAGTTTTTCTCCATTTTATTACTGTTGCTTTTTAGATGAAGCATTTTCACTATTATTTTATTGCTAGTTTTAGTCTATCTTATTACTGCTGCATTTTTTCATAATGTCCAAGAGAGCAAACAAAATGAAATCACAGATTTAGAGTTCAACTTGAAGCTCACTCTTCAAGAATGTGTCTTTCATTAATTTTGGCTGCATTTAATTCTGTGTGTGGATTTTATCACCTGATATTTGTGAACACATTTTATTATCTTTTTAGAAGCATATGACCATTATTCCAAGCATCTTTTGTATTTCTTGTTTTGTAAGAAATTAACATCTGCTGTCCACTTTTCATATTTTATAATCATTTTAATTTTATTCATGATATTTGCTTTCTGTCATTATCTACAAGAAGCTATGAAAATATAGGGAAAGCAAATCTTGTTTTACCAATAGCATAATAGTCTCTTGTTCTTGATTTCAGTGATTGCATTTTTATAATAATTGATATCGTTTTCTCTTGAAATACTAAGATAAAATGCTTGTTTTATTAAGTTTCCTGCTGCAGTCAATTCATAGTAATGTTTCAGTATTTACTTTCTCTCTTGTTAATGTTGAGCTCCATTCATTTTAGAGGGGGTTTCTCCTTGTTTGCATTTGGGGAGATACTTTTTGTAGATGTCAGACCTCTTTTTGCAATGATTTTTTTTTTCATTTTAGATAAGCTAGTCTTAATTTATCTACATTGCATTCATTTATATATTATTATTAATAATAATAAAAAAGAAAATTCAAAAGAAAAAAAACTTTTATACCAAAGTTGTACTTTTAAGGAGCAAAGATATTTCTACTCAAATTAGTCTTGAAGTTTTATATTAAGAATATAATGAAAACTCATTTTAGTATTTTCTATTTAAAAAAAAAAATGGTATTTTGTCATGTCTGAATGCATAAAAATAAAAAAAATAAAAATAGAAGGAAAGAAAAAACCCAAAGGTAATCACAAGTGTGTAAGAAAGAAAGAATATCAGAATGGTAATATTCAAGGAAAGAAATGTTATGCCAGAAGAAACGGAATAAATTTTATTCTATTGAAATCTTATAAAAGCAATCTTTGGTTATATGAAGATTTTTTTTTATTTTTTATTGTTTTTGCTTTAATTTTAGTTAGAATATTTTTTGCTTGAATCAATAAAACCCCCCAAAAAAAAATAATTCCAGCTAATATAACATAATTTTTGTTAATATATTTAAAATACAAGAATGTTTTCTCTTGGTTCTTAGTGACATATCTACAATGGATATCCAAATTTGAATCCTTTAACATTTTTTTTTTTTTTTTTTTCATCCTACTTGCTCATCAGGCTTATCTCTTGTCGTTTATATTGATAAATAAACAATAAGCAAAATCTTAGAATGTACAATAGTGGATGGGTTGGATGAAAGATAAGTTGAAGATGCGATATAGCTTGAGAGAAAATAATCGGAAAATGAAAGAGAAGAAAGTGAGACAGATTAAAAAGACAATTTAGGATTTAAGATTTTTTTTTTTTTTAATTTTGAAACATTAAACGTCTTGAGATGAAAATAAATGGGATGGATAAAAAATTGGGTTAGGACTGACAAACCAAGAAATAAGAAAGACTAAAAAATTAAGACAGAATATAAAAGTGGAAAAAGAAAGATGAAAATTTGTTAAAATAAGAAGGGAAAAGAGAATGATAAAGAAAGAAAAAAAATTTAATATAGGAAGGAAAAAGTGATAGTGGTACAAAGAAAGAAGTTAAAAATATAAGAGAGAGTAATAAAGATTAATGGGGGAGAGAGTGAGAGAGAAGAATGCAAAATGAATGTGGGGGGTGCTGTTCTCTTCAGAGTCATTGAATCAGAAAAAAATAGGTAGAACATCAAAAATGAAATTCATATAAAAGTTGAGCAATCTTGAGCCTGGTCAGTACCTAGATGGGTGACTGCTGGGGAATAACAGGTGCTCTAAGCTTGGGTGTGCAGGTGGTATCATGGATAAGGACTCGGAATAGTTAATCAGAGATCCGAGTTTTAATTCCAGTTGGGTTTGTTATATTCACTTACACACAAATACCCTTGGGTAAGGTATGAATCCATTTCTTCCCACCATCTATGGCTTAATTAGTAAGACTTTTATCACTGTAAACCATTATCTTAAGAAAAAAACTATATACAAAAATATTTACATTTTGGCATTAAATAACCCATAAAGATATTGATATGCTGCTAAAAAAAAACACCTAAGCCAACAATGTCGAGGCAAACCTTGAGAAATCTATCATCAGTTCTGATTTGTTGACAGTTATATTATATGCACTATCATTCATACAAACTAGAAAGCTGAAAGATGTTAGAGAAAGCATAATGTGGGTATGGCAGTGCAGGGTTTATATATATATATATATATATATATATATATATATATATATACATTTTTTCGTTTCATTTCATTTTTGGAAGTGCTATCTGATGATACGGCATCCTTTAAAAGGGCTCTGGTGAAATAAATTATTATAATGGTACCTTAAAGTGTTCTGTTTTTCTTTAATATATATATATATATATAGTTAAACCTAGAGAGCCAGACAAACCTACCAAGGTTTCACCTAAGCGGATCATCAAAGAAGGCTGGCTAACAAGGTAAAGAAAGAACAGAATATAGGTCTGCTCTACTCATTGTATTGAGCACTTTATTTAGTTATTTAGGCTACTCTCATCGGGTTTTTTTTTTTCTTTGGGCCTTGAACTCATATGCTGGACGATTATTTTTGGTTAACGTACATGTTCTTGGTTCTTTCTTTTTTTATACCTTTTTTTTCCCTTTGGTATTGGCTTGTTTATTTGCAGTATACACACACACACACACAGTGAATTAAATAAAAAATTCAAGAACTTATCACTTAACTCAATTTCACAGAGGT